ATCGGCTGCATTTCTATACACCAATAATGAAGCAACAGAAAGAGGAAGCAAGGAATGGATCCCATTTACAACTGCACCAAAAACCATAAATACCTAGGAATAAACCTAACCAAAGAGGTAAAAGATCTGCATACTGAAAACTACCGAAAGCTTATGAAAGAAAGTGAAGAAGACACAAAGAAATGGAAAAACATTCCATGCTCATGTTAACATGTCAATACCACCCAAACCGGTCTACACATTCAATGCAATCTCTATCAAAATAGCACCAGCATTCTTCACAGAACTAGAACAAACAATCCTATCATTTGTGTGGAACCACACAAGACCTCGAATAGCCGAAGTAATGTTGAAGAAAGAAAACCAAAGCTGAGGCATCACAAACACAGACTTTAACTTTTACTACAAAGGTGTAAGCATCAAGACAGTATGGTATTGGCATAAAAACAGACCACAGATCAATGGAATAGAATAGAGAACCCAGAAATGGACTGACAAATATATGGCCAACTAATCTTCGACAATCAGGGAAGAACATCCAATGGAAAAAAGATAGTCTCCTTAGCAAACGGTGCTGGGAGAACTGGACAGCAACATGCAGAAGAATGAAGCTAGACCACTTTCTTACACCATTCACAAAAATAAACTCAAAATGGATAAAGGACCTGAATGTGAGACAGGAAACCATCAGAATCCTACAGGAGAAAACAGGCAGCAACCTCTTTGATCTTGGCTGCAGGAACTTCTTACTTAACATGTCTCTGGAGGCAAGGGAATTGAAAGCAAAAATGAACTATTAGGACCTCATTAAGATAAAAACCTTCTCCACAGCAAAGGAAAGAATCAGCAAAACTAAAAGGCAACCAATAGAAGATATTTGCAAATGACATATCAGATAAGGGGTTAGTATCCAAACTCTATAAAGAACTTATCAAACTCAACACATGAAAAACAAATAATCCAGTGAAGAAATGGGCAAAAGACATGAACAGACACTTTTTCTTTTTTTTTTATTTTAAAAAAAATTTTTTTTTCAACGTTTAT